TAATCGAGATCTCCGAAACTAACCAATATAACACACTGTGGTGAATATTGATTCCTTCATTATCTTATTCATTTAAATCTTAAACAACTGGTTAATTTTAGCATGGGGGGTTTGTGGAAATGTTGAGTTTTCGTAGTATACATCAAGGATTAATCTTGAAGAGACAACCATCGATAATCATGAAGCACTAGACAGCTGTTTCATCCTACTGTGGGGCTCACCAATAGTGTGCATCCACGATCACACTGGAGGTTAGACCCAGGCTTCTCAGTAAGCGCTTAATTCGAACTGGGACGAAACAGTTATCCGAGGTTTCCTGGTCTCAGTTGGTTGTCTAACTAAAATCAGTCAGTGATATAAATTGTTGTTTTAGGAGTTCCTAAATGGAACACATAGTTGTACCTAGAAATAATTCGGGGTTGCGTAGATTCTGCAGAATGTCAGTTAATAATGGAGTGTTAAACTAATTAACAATGGACTATAAATTTCAATGAAACCGCAATTCATTTATCAAGTGTAGGTAGGTATTCCATTTCAATGCAAATTTGGTTTAAGGATAATGATACTATCGAGATATCTTGATATGATAGTCAAGAATTGGGGAAGGTTTTTGGTTCGATTCCCGGATGTGCAAAAAAACTCAAAGTTTGCAGGTCCTGTTCCTCATACGGTGAGCTCAGTTAGGGTACCATTAAAAACCAGATAGCACTGGACAAATACTTTCTCTTAATGTAGAACTCCTCAGGAATGCACACACAGCCATACCATGTATTGAACCAAAAACTTTCAAGATTCATGGGGAACTTATAAACACTAGGATCACCAATAAGTTGGCACAATACCAACTTCGATCAATTCATGATAAAGCGTGATAATCATAAAATGTCATTGGTCAAAACAGTTTCACTATGCACTCCACCAATTAGCATTAAAACTTCGGGAATACTTTGAAGTAAGTCTACAGTCAGCTCACTACTAATGTTTAGTTGAAGTGATTTTGTAGAGATAGATCACTGATTCTTTTTGCATTCCCTCGTTTCTAATAATGTTTCGGATATTTTATACATTATAGACTAATTTCTAACTACTAAACTGCTGAAAACTAAACAAAACCCTAGACAACTTTCTTATTTTCCTTTAGGAATTCTTCAGTAATCTGTATACTAGAGAGCTACAAACAACGTAGGAACAGGCACATTTATGCATCGGTCCAAGTTGCCATACCTCGTTAGCACAACAAGATGAACACCGGGTTCATAGAAGTAATTAATTTAGTGGTGGTAGTAGTATATAAATTATAGGTTGTATATAAGGATATAGTACAGGAAGGAGGAGAGATATGAAGCAATTTTAGTCTCAAGGTTTAAAGGAAGATAAAGAGTGTATACACCTACGCCATTGTGATCGATTCTGAGCCATGTCACCTAGAGTTTCCAACCATTGGTTACGATAGTCACACGGACCCCAACCGTTGCTGCTACCTTGACGTGGTGGTCGGGCTTGCCTATCGTGATGATCCAATCGAGCTATGCTGGCTGGAACAATCGTTCCTCGAGGTCCTACCATGCCAGACAGGTCGGTTGAAGAGCGGTAAGACTAAAAGCAGCAAACCCAAGGTCCGAAGGCAAAGTCGTACTGTCGACTGTACAGAGGTGTGACGGCAGTAAGGTGTTTCCTTCAGACAACCAGCATGACAGCGATGCTGCCTTCCCACAAGGAGGGGTGGGGTTAGAAAAGATCGACCATAAAAATGCACACCTCGCCTTATCCCACGGTTATCCGTCTCCGTCGGTAAGGTCCTTTGCAGAACGGAGCTAACACAAAAACTACCCACAAAAAGGTCGTGTGTGACCGACCTCAAGCAGTTGTCCCTTGGGCACTGCGGTCACGCTCTCAGGTCATTAAGACCACTTCTAACCCAATTTCCTTTTCAGGTACCCCCAGGAGAACCCTTCCACGGTGTGGGCAACCGGGAAGTGATAATTGCCCTCATACCTCTAACAGCACTCAAGACCGTATACTAGAGAGCCTAGGACTTGTGGTGTAAGTCAACAACATAGTACAATGTAAGCAAATTAACATAGAAGTGGAGTATTGATAAATTCATTAAAATGAAACAGGTAAAAAAAAGAGTGAAAAAATTACAATAAGGTATTTCAAGTAGGAAAATAAAAGAATGAAGCGCTTTATCGCATAAACAGTGTGTAATCTCTCTTTTTTAAAGAAAAAAAAAGATCTGTTTAACATCAAATAATTGTATTGCCTAATAGTATAGTATAGAAAAAGTATAGTCGTTGTAATCTAAACGTGAATAAAAGAAATTGAAGAAAAAAACAACAACATGTAATTTTTCTATTGACAGAGAGAGAGAGAGAGACAGAGGTGGGGGGGGGGAGGAAACATGTACAAACAGTACATACTGAATTACGGAAAATATTAAAAAAAGAGATTTTAAATGTAATTAAATTTATGCACTTTTGTACACATTTCGGTAATATATATATACATATATACAGAGAGAGGGAGAGAAAAGAGAAAACAAGGTGGTGGAGAAAAAAAAAAGAAAGCGCCTTAGTTCCTATTTCGTCTTCTAGAGATTTGCATTTATATAAACACTAACTAACAAACATGAATTTGTGTTTAAGAAAAAAAATAAAATACAGTGAATTATTCCCCCACCCCTCAGAAAAAACAATTGGAATTTCAAAAACCAGGACAAATTTACACGTAAATTAAACTAAACACACACACATACATACATATGAACTATAGTCATAAGACTACTTACTTACTAATCATTAATACATGTTTATTAACCACTTAAAAAATGGAGTTGATTTATGAAAAGTTAATTAAACTTTGAAATAATAATAATAACAATGAAATAGGACGAAACGCGCGTCCTCGATTCCACTGCTAGCTACTATCCATCTTTGCTTATAATGCTTGTGAATTAAGGCTATATCAAGGCAATACGCACAGTATGCACATATGCCAATTAGAGACTGACCAGTTGCAGTCCTAACACATCGATGGGAAGATTCAAACAAACAATACCAAGTGAATAATGAATTGTTCCTTTTAATTTTAATAGGAGATTAATTCTGTTAAGTCGGTTTCCAGAGAACTCCAACAGAGCCTCCAGAGGCTCAAAAAGAGCTCCAACCAATCAGAGCACGACAGAACATTCTGGAGTTCCAACGTGGCATGCTACCATTGGTCAGTAGCAATATATGTCGTTTATTGGATTGGCTGAATTAGGATGTTGATTTAACTTAAGCAAACATCTATAAATACTTACGATTTTTCTGTACAAAACTGAACCTTGCAATAAAGCATCTTCTCGCTACTCGTGTCTTCTCTCTGGTCTTCAAGTCGCTGAGTAGTGCTAGCCTGGGGTTATCCGAATAGCTTAGGATCTGAATAAGCGTTCAACCCACAAGACATATCAGTGGCGACGGGGAAAAACTACAAGACATATCAAATTCTTACGGAATCAACAAGCAAATCTGACAACTCTAAGACCGATATTAAAAATTAGAGTAATGGATTATTAGTTAAGGGATCCAACTTTCAGTCACTAAGTCTCGGGTTCGAGCCCCGCTTCATTTAATTTAATTTGGAAAACCGATTAGTATTATTAATTTTTATATCCAAGTACATGGTGAATGAGACAGTTTAGATTTCTAAATTCGCACTCTGAAATGGAACTGATTTACTGAATGAAGAAATTGACGCTTTCACTTTAGAGCTACAGTTTTCGTGTAAGCAACAATGATATAACTTTCCAAACTTAAATGCTTCACAACAAATGAACCAGTGTTTTAAAGTGATAACATAAACCACCAATTGATATTCTCTCTATCAATGACAACACTGATTAAAATAAGAGTCAACAAAACAAGCCACACTTATAAATAATATGCATTACACTTGAAAGCCTAAACATCAACTCTCGAATCGATGCGCAGTTCATCACAAGAATTCTTGAAATTTTGAAACATAAATAGAAACCAAAAGGTAAAAAGTATATAAGAAACTTTGCTTCTAAGGTTATTTAATGTATAGCGAAAAACGTATTTATAAGAGTATATGTGACTTTGATATTCTAAGACCTTCTGTAAATCATGTTAATATTGGTAGCCAACTCGATAATTGTTTAACTAGAGAAATGAAAATATTTCAAAAGAATAAGCAAAGATGGATAGTGGCTAGCAGTGGAATCCAAAACAAAGCGGGTTTCGTCCTATTTGAGACTCGTCAGCTAGATGTACCTGCATCTCAGAGTTGATGTTCACTCTTTGCTTACAATGCTTGTGAAATAAGGCTATATCGAAGCAATACACACAGTATGCACATATTGCCAATGAGAGACTGACCAGTTGCAGTCTTAAACATCAATGGAAAGATTCAAACAAATAATACTAAGTGAATTTTAGGAGAATGTTCTTAAATTTCGAGAAATGACCTAGGACTTTCAATAACACATACTTAGATGTTGATTTACATATTTCCCTAATCCAGTTTACAATTAGAATAACTGGATAATAAATAGACATTTGTAATTGAATACTTTGTTCATATGTCAGTTAAATAAAGTAATGATACTAAATGGAAGGAGAACGATTATAAAATACTTAACAAAGTAGATACACAAACATTAGGGATTCCACTTCCGAATATTCAATTGACATCAGTCAAAAAAGATGTTAAAAATTTTCTTAAACATAACTTTGTGACTATACAGGGAGTCAAACCCAGAATCTTCGGTCTCGTGCACGAATCTTTTAACCTCTAAACCAAAGAACTATAGGGCTATATATATCCAATGCTGAGAAGTCCTATACAAGGATAAAACGCCCGTCTAGTGTTTGCAGAATTTCAATGATGGTCATCGTAAGATCAGTTCATGATTCAGATGTGATAATTCTACAATCTACACAAAGTCCATAAACTGAAAACCTGGAAGTGAAAAAAATAACATGAAAAAAATAACTTACTATCCTTTTCAGTGGGACGTTCATCATAGGCGGATAAATGTTTTACAGATCTGAAGTATAATGTAAAAAAAGGATTAACAAATGGTGTTCAGAATAACAGGCATAGCGCAATAATAATAGTGACAAATACAATATTACCGTTATACACTGGATTATACTCCTTCAATAACATCTCCAAACCCTAATCTTTCACATAATGCTTATACTGTTACTACTTCTACCACTATGGGATTGGAATCGACAACTTCATCTCTGTGCTAATGTGGTATGGCAACTCGAACTGATGAACGTACTTTCGAAGTTCTACGTTGTGACTGACTGACCGTTATAAACAATAATAATTTATGCACTTCAGTCAGTCAGTGAACTACAACGTAGGACCAAGCACATATATACATCGGTCTAGGTTGTCATACCTCGTTAGCACAAGATGAACACCGGATTCATAGAAGTAGTAGTTAATATATATCTACATCTTTCTTCAACTCAATATTCAAAGAGGAAAATATATCAACTAGCTACCATGCATTCGTTTTTGTTTTCCAGTATTTAACCTAGCAACAATTTGTAAGCTTTTTAAAACAACGCATCAGTACATTCAGGGCTAACATTCATAATTATTTAGTCCAAACGATTATATAATACAAAAGTTATTCGTACTAATGGAATCAAACAAACTTACATGTAAGCATCGGATTTACTGAAACTGGAGTGTTGAATGTCAGCAATTGAACGATGAACATCGTTGACATTATTGTGATTATCAGTATTCTTATTATTATCTTTAACGCTAGTCTGATTTGACTCTCTTTTATCCAAAAACCTTGCACGTAAAAAGTCAAAATATGCTGTCCAAATCTATATATTTTTGACAAATGAGCACAATAGAAGTAAGACCGATAAATATTGACAGTAAATAAATAAATAACTTGAATATCACAGAAGTACTATAACCATCAGCTGGATATCATAACAAAACAAAACTATATTTAGAAGGGGTTTTTGTGGAGATTTAGTATTTTCATAGTTCAAGGCGTGAGTCAATTGAAGCTAGAACACCAAGGAAAACCTGTAAGCACTGGACAGACGTTTCGTCTTATTATAGGACTCCTCAGCAATGAGCATCCACGGTCCCGCCTCGCGAGTCCCACAATAAGACGAAACGGCCGTCCAGTGCTTGGTAGTCTAGCTTCAATTGACTCACGCTTTCAACTATGAAAACTATATTTAACACAATACAGTCATAATTATTCCATAAACCGAAAGAAAACCAGTACCCTTACATGAAATACATAATTCAGTTCCGACTTGCAACACTTTTTGAAAGACCTCAAGAATTCCTACGAAATTTTGTTGAAGGCTATAAGGTTGAAAAAACTTTAAACAGTAAAAATTCCTTGAAGAGTTGTAGAGGAACAATGAACTAATTGTTCTTCATGTCTTGATTGGAGAATTATAGGTTTTTCTGGTAGATTTAACATGTTCACATACTATCCGCAACAGCGTTTTATGGGAGAAGACAAACCAGCTTCTAGTTGAAGTGGAAATTAGGAAAACACGTTGGAAGTGGATCGGACATACATTGAGGAAATCACTAATGTGCATCACGACTCAATCACTAACTTTAAATCCAGAAGGGGTACGGAGAAGAGGAAGGTCAAAGAATACAATACGCCGGAAGATTGAAGCAGATATGAAAAGGATGAATAACAAAGGGAAAGGATTACCCAGGACAGGGTTGAATAGAGAATACTGGTGGGTGGCCTATACTCCTTAACGAGAGGTGACAGGCGTAAGTAAGTAAGTAATGGGCTAACAGAAACTTAGTCCAACTACTTATCATCAGTCCAGAGATCCTTCTTATCCTATAATAATGCTGATATATTTCTAAGTGACTAACTTTTATTCTACACAACGTGAGATAAGCCATATTCTTTTGTAAAAAACAAGCATCCACTACATTGATGTAAATAGAATAAATAAACATTCTAGTCTAGATAACCAATGAAAAAAATTTATCATTACTCACTTGACAAAGATTATAAGGCAGCGGTGCCGGATACATAAAATCGATATCGTCTGTCGATGTAATGATACAATGTGGTGTAATTGTACCTCCATATTCATCTGTAAATACAACAATATTTTTTTCATAGAGACAATAAAACAGATCTTTGTATTAAGATAGGTTACTTGTAACTATTCAATTTTCTTAAAATATAACTTGATCATGAATATTATTATCAGCCCATTATTATGGTTCAAGATAAAATGTAAGTGTGTGAGAAAGTGATACAACCTCGTTTAAGTAGAAAACATGGGTTCGGAGTTGTAAATGAACGATTGTAAGTAGAACACCTTAACTATTGAGCCACAAGTCTATTAATTAATATCACGTGTAGAACCATTGAAAACCAAGGAATGCTGCATACATATTTTTTTTGTTTTACTTTAAAGCTCTTTGGTAGTATATAATTACGAATTCAAACAGAAATGAATCAATAACCTTTTGGTCTCGTAAAGAGCAGGATACTTTTAGATAATCGACTTGGTAGTCACCAACGCATATTTCGAAGTTCAGCCCATATTGTTTGAATAATGCAGTTCAATTATATAAACAATGATATAGATGCCATTTACTCTAATGAATCGTAGTCAAGCACTCTGAACTAAGGAATCCCACCTCAGTGTACATCGTAAGAACTAAAGATCAAGGGACAGAGCTCTGCTAAACAACTAGATAAACAATAATGAAGGACGAAATGTTTGTTTAATGATTCATTGGTTTCAAAAGGGTACAACAGTCAACCAATGATGAAAATTTTCATTAATACCATTTATTATTACTTAAACACATAAATAGTGGTACAAGGAAGCACCAGATATATATGCGCCAAATAAATCTCACTTGATTTGTGTTGGGGCTGTGATACTACCCAGGTGCCCAAACCGAAGCAGGTGGTTTACTTAGGGGGCCATACCCCAAGCCTTTGACCTAAAAATCTGATCCACAAGGCAGTGGAGCATCGTGAGGAGATGCGGTCACATGGTAGCCGGTGACCAACGGTTGATTCATACGCCATTTGTTCCCTCAGGGCACTGAAGCTCATGTGCACCATTGGTTTGGAATGAGGGTTTTCCAACTCCCCTAGGTGGACTCGCCGTGTCCACTAACCCGGTTAAAGCGCCAGACATTCGCTTTTCGTCCTCTTAATTTCGTAGACAACACCTTGGCCACGAGAAGACAGTGAGTAGGACTTCCTTGGCAGAGGCTATTTACGTGTGGCCATGTGAGAGGATTTTGAGAGAGAGAGAGAGAGAGCAGACTCTTCCCACTTTCGGCCGTACCAGGGCATCATTTAATCTAATAATAAAACATGATACAATGAATTTGATTATCATGACTTCTTAAACCGAAATCAGTAGATAAAGAATCGAACCTGAAACCTTTCAATTGACAGCTGAATGTTCTACCACTTAATATACCATATTATTAAATAAATAGTTAAATAACCTTTCAATATACATACAATGTATAAATTTTGTATTAAATTATGAGAATCAATTAAGAGAAAATCTACAAGAACATGACAAATAAAAATGATACGAAAAAGGTAATTAAAGAAAAAAAACAAACAAACAAAATTATTCATAAAAGTATGATTCTTTCTAAAATTGAATCCTTCTATTCTTACTTCCCACCCCCACCCCCTAACCAGAATAAAAAAAAACAACAATAATAATAGAATACTAATTATTAACATCATTAATAACTAGTAACAATATAGAAAGCAAATAATAACAAGTATTCATAATACAAAACCTATTCTATAATTAACATGTATATCATTTTGTAATCTAAACATTATTTGAACAACTAACTATTTGTACTTTTATTATTACCATTTAATAAGACAAAAATACATTTAGATTATTGGTGCCATTTTATCATAGTTAACAACAACAACAACAACAACAACAACAACAACAACAACAACTACTACTACTACTACTACAACTACGACTATTCTTATTACTATTTATAAAGGGTATTTTTTTTTATTAGAAAATACAATATGTGAAAAACAAACGGATGAATAATAAAATCACTTTTTGTAAAAATATTTTACATCTATTTATGAAATGTAGGGGGGCGGGGCGGCATATGCACCTCCATGATGGGTAACAGGCGTAAGTAAAGTAAGTAATGAATGGAAATTTATTCCTATTTTAATGCTTGTTATTCATTATTATTTTACAATGTTCAAATATTATGTTTTGATATCTTAAATAATTCGAGACATAATAAAAAAATAATAATAATAATGAATACATACTGATAAGCAAAGATGGATAGTGGCTAACAGTGGAATCCAGGACGCATGTTTCGTCCTATTTGAGACTCTTCAGTTGGACGTACCTGCATTTCAGAGTTGATGTTGACTCTGGAACTCGAACCCAGTACCTTTCGATTTAGATACCATCGTTTTATCCACTCTAAGATGCACGTACATCCAGTTGACGAATCCCAAATAGGACGAAACGCGAGTTTTGGATTCCACTAGCTAGCCACTATCCATCTCTGCTTATGATGCTTGTGAATTAAGGCTATATTGAAGCAATACGCACAATAGGAAAATAGTGCCAATAAGATACTGATCAATTGCAGTCCTAAACATCAATAAAAAGATTGAAATAAACAATACCAAGTGAATTTAATACATACTTAATACTGTAAATTAAATAGGTTTCCAAAAAAATTAGCTACCATGGAATTATATAATTAACAATAATAAAAATCCTAAAAAAAAACAAGAACAAAGATTTGAACAGTCGCCAAATGAGAAATTCATGTTGTGACAATTAAAAAATCTTTTTAATAGTAGTTCATGCCCCCAAATGCCCTGGTACGGCCGAGAGTGGGGAGGGACCGCCCTCCCTCTTGAAATGCTCTCACACAGTAACGCGTATACAGCCTCTGCCAGAGAAATCCTACGCAATACCTTCTCGTAGCATTATTGTTGTTTACGAAATTGAGAGGACGAAAAGCGAATGTCCGACGCTTTAACCGGGTTGGTGGACACTGAAAGTCCACCTAGGGGAGTTGCAAAACCCTGATTCCAAGCCAAGGGTTCACATGGACTCCAGTATTCTGAAGGAACAAATGGCGTATGAATCAATCGTTGATCACCGACTACCATGAGACTGCATCTCTTCACGATGCTCCACTGCCTCGTCGATCAGATTTTTAGGTCAAAAGCTTGGGGTATGGCCCCCTACGAAAACCACCTGCTTCGGTTTGGGCACCTGGGTAGTATCACAGCCCTCACACAAATCAAGTGAGATTTATGTGGCGCATATATATCTGGTGCCCCTTGTACTAATATTTATGTCTTCAAATAAATAAATTGACCGAGAAATGATCTCATTTTCTAAGGACTATATAAATATTTGATTATACTTTTGATCTAATTTAACACAATCAAGTTTCTTATTCACTCTTAGTACTTACTCAAAAACTGATTGGCAGCTTAACATATAGGGAGTTTATGTATTAGTATATAAGACTCGAACACTATGGGTCATAACAGAATTCGTTTTATTTCGTTTGATTATTGTCAGTCTTTTTCATAGTTGAAAGCATGAATCAATTGAAGCTAGACCACCAAGGAAAACCCGTTTCGTCCTATCATGGGACTCCTCAGCAGTGAGCATCCACGATCCCACGCTCGCGAGACTCGAACCCAGGACCTACCAGTCTTGCGCCAGAGCACTTAACCGATAGACCACTGAGTTGACATCCAACGGTGGTAATGCTGAGGAGTCCCATAATAGGACGAAACGGCCGTCAAGCAGTGCTTCCAGGTTTTCCATGGTGGTCTAGCTTGAATTGACTCATGATTTCAACTATGAAAATACTAAATTCTCCACAAAACCCCTTCTGATCTATTGTCAGTCTATTTACAATCTATAATATTTTAGAATTAAAATTATGCACAAAAGTTAAACCTATATAAGGATGTATTAGAGAATAGAAGCATCAGAGTATATTAAATTCTGAAGATATATTGAAATATGTTTCAAGTTCTTTTTCCTAGTATTATTATGGTGTGGGTTACTGATATCCACATAAATAGTATATGATGATGGTCGGGCACTGAATGTATTACAGTAAAAAATCGATAAGGAGAGAATGGGAACGGCATGCAATTGATACGAAAATACATGTACAATAATAATCGAAGACTATGAACGGATATTTGCTGAAGAAGCAGTCAAATTGAGACAATTGATTGTTATTTTGCAAATTAACTGTTTACTATATGGTTTTTATATTTTAATGGGATATTCTGTAATGTTATGCTTAAATACATTCGATTGTCCCTACTAGTGTTCTTGTTCACTACACTATGAGCTTTAGTTATTATTTTTGATGATCTTGAATTTCCTTTTACACATTGTATATTTATTTAAAACATACTGTTCTTACAGTCTTATTAACTTTTCTCGCCTCATTTGGATGATATAACTTCAGTGCTAGCCAAGATCACTGATAACCACTGTCTTCGAAGCATTACTCTCGTTTTAAAGAACGATCAAAGGAGCAAGTTTGAAGTTGGACAGAGGTGACAAGTCGGTTGATGAGGTGATGGGTTCCCATTGGTTGAGGTGGTTAGGGTATACATTATGTAAGCTCACCTACTGACTACTACGACGAGCAATGCTTGATTTGTTGATAGATGCAGACAACCTGGTTGGGGTCCATTCGATAACTATAATCAGTAGTTAGATTTTTGATAAAACGGCTTAGAATTATTCACTACAGAACAAATATATTAACTCTTTATCTTTCTACATAATTTAAACTTCAATATTCCTTCACGTATACCTATCTATTCCGTCTTTTCAAATCATACTTCCAACGTGTGGTCTTCTTCTTAATCATTGCTCCTAAATTACTTCAATCTCTTTTGTTGCTTTCACCTCATCATGCTAATCAACTATAGTACTTTGGATCAGATACCATGTTGATGATGTCTGTGCTTGACTGATGAGAACATAATGAAATAAAATAAAATCCCGTTGTAGTGCCGTGCTTCGTTAATAGATCACCTCGATAACCGTTATAATACTAATCTTAACGGTGCATGAAATTAGAAGGCAAAGAGAAGCGGCAGCTATAGTTTTATTGTCAAATGACGCAGGGTAGGATATTATGAGCATATAAGTAAATATCAGCGAGCGAAACAAAAATGACATGCATTGGAGATGGCGGGAAGCCAACTCATTTTAACCAAACGTTAATTAATATTTATAGTCAGACAAGAATAAACGACAGACATGTGATAAATAGGATAAGAGAGTGAACACACAACTACGCTCATATAAAAATGGTCAGAGTTAATGAGTGAACAAAGTGTAAACATGACTTATAATGGACAGGCGAATTGGCTTGGCCAGAAGCTAGAATAAAGTATATGGGCTTAACATAACAAACGATACTACACCATTAAATCTTTGCGTTTGATTACATCAAAATAATATTATTACTACTATAACAAACCTGAAGGACGAACAAGTGCCCATCTACGTTGACCAGCTGATATTGGCATTCTATATGGATTTTTACTTACACCAAATGGAAAATACGCTCCTGATATAAGTGAAGTAGTTGCATAATTTGTTAAATTACGTGAATATGTAGTTGAATTAAATTTTCCACAATGTATTGGAGTATTCGTGTTAGTAGTATTACTAGTAGTAGTAGTAGTGGTTGTTGTTGTTGAATATAATGTAATCGTTGATTTTCTACGAATAAATGGTAAAGTATGAGAATTTAATCCAGATAATGATAAGGTACCATTGGCACGACGATCTATTGAATTACAACTGCGTAGTGTAAAATGTTGAGGAGTTATGATACTCCATGGACTTGAAGATGGTTGTCCATCCGATAAGATAACATCCATTGCTGAAAAGAAAAATTTATAGAAGTAAGAATTATTCATTACTGAGTAAATGGAAGCAAAATTTGGGGGGAAAATGTTGAAAGTATACTAATATTCCATATATATATATATATATATATATATATATATATATATATATCACTTAAAGCAATACAATACTACAAGGGTTTCTCTGTAACCACATCAAAAGGTCAAGTTAATGAACAAATAACTTGATATACAAAAACAGTACAACTTTCGACGATATGTACATTTTGCTCCACTACAAGTGATAAAAATTTTCGGATAGGAATTCATGTACTTAACCAAAAGTTACAATCGAAGTGGAGCAATACCTTAGTGGCTTAGGCATTTAGTCACTGAGTTATAGATGTAAATCCTATTTCACTTATTTCGATCTGAGCAATCTCATAGTATCATTAGCTCTCATATTTCTAGTGTGGCTGCCGGCAACCATACTACACCAAAAATAACGGTTCTCATCTAATCACTGAAGTTAAACAACGTTAGACCTAGTCACTACCTGGATCGTTGTTCTAAATACTAAATCAATGCTTTAATACTAGTTATATCCGTAGCCGATGAATCAAAATTTAGTGAAAACTTTATCACTTAGAGAAAACAAGAAAAGATCATTTCATGCAAGTTAGAACCTGGCACATATGCACATCGGTTCACGTTGTCACATCTCATAAGAAAATGTGGAATAATGAAATAAAAAAAAAATTGTGAGGACACCTAGAAACTAATGTTCTAAATAAGACAGAGAGTAAATGCAAATACGCCACTGAGACCGATTATGAACGTTGTCATCCAACACCGATAACCACTGAATATGATAATCAAGTGGGCCCAAACTAGGTAGTCTGCACCTACTTACATGACTCAGTTCAACAGTCAGTAATTTCATGGTAAGATCACGTCTTGGTTTGGTCACCCCAAACTTTATCCCAACCTACTCCTACATCAATCAACATTCCGGGTCAGGATAGTTCGCGGATGAGCATATGTACTATATGTCGCTACAACTTCATCTGATAAACATTCACAACCTCATCAATCGATTTTCCATCCTTACATACTACCATGTGTCTAACCTCAGAATTGCTAACTTCATGGTCCCAATATATATGAGCAATGCATCGTAAGTCATATATGATCGGACATTAAAAACCTACGAATAGCTTCTATTCCTGACAGTCATACTTCACAGCCGTATAATAAAATGAAATGAACTGTTGAGCGGTACACTTGTCCTTTTGTTGGCATGAGGATATCTCCCTTACGTCACAAGTGAAATAAGTTGGCAAAATTCAACTGAGCTATTTGAATTAATGAGTACCAGATTTTAAATCGTATAGAGATTAATAACTCTGAAGTGTTGTTGTGTCAGATTTCCAGTGTAATCAAGTCCTGTAAATAGAATTTACTGTGGTTCAACATGAAACCTCTGAATACACGATCATTTGACCACGTGGAAATCACTATATCAATATAACTCAGTCAGTCAGCAACAACGTAGGACCAGGCAAATTTATGCATCGGTCCAAGTTGCCATACCTCGTTAGCACAATAAAATGAACACCAAATTCATAGAAGTAGTTAATTTAGTGGTGTTAATATATAAAAGAAAGATTGTATATAAGAATATAGTACAGGAAGAAAGACAGATATGAAGCAATTTTAATCTTAAGGTTTAAGGGAAGATAAAGAGTGTATACACTTACGCGATTGTGATCGGTTCTGAGCCATGTCACCCACAGTCTCCAACTATTGGTTACGATAGTCACGCGAGCACCAACCAAGTAGTCTGCATGTACCAACATGGCTCAGACTAGAAGTTAGTGACTTCAAGCTCCGATGCCATGTTTTGGTTTTGCAGCCCCTAACTCTCTTCCAACCATCGCCAATACTAGTCAGCATAGCGCGTCGTGGTAATCGCTGTTCAGGCATACGTAACAACACGTGGCCCAACCATCTCAGTCGATGAAGATTTATCACCTCATCAACTGATTTACCATCATCATTCCCTAATACCATGCGTCTAACCTCACTATTACTTAGCCGGTGATCCCAACAGATGCGAGCAATATTTCTAAGGAATCTGTGGTCAAATACTAGTAGCTTACGAGTATCTTCTACTCTTAATGGCAACGTTTCACAGCCGTAAAGTAGAACAGAGCGAACTGCCGCACAGTATATTCTCTTCCTAATTGATAGACGGATATCTCGTCTTCGCCATAGGTGACGTAAGTTGGTGAAAGTCAAACGAACTTTCTGAATCACTGCACACACATCGTCAGACACCACCAACCCATCAGGGCTGATCAGACTTCCAAGATAAGTGAAGTTGTCGACGCGTTCGACTACTTCACTCCCTATCTTTATGTTATATAGTAGCGAAGACATAAGTACGGGTAACTTGCAGGATCTACTATTGGACTATCATTCTTATTGTATGACTATTCGGTAACTAGATTATCTAAGCTTTATTTTGACCTATTGATTATTACTATGTGATTTACTGTCCCTATGTTATACTCAGTTTTATTGATTATTGTCTCCCACGCTTACAGCCTCATTTGGCCTGGTTTTGTACAAATATTATTTTCTATTTTATGGTGTGGTGTGGTCTGCCTGTCTGGTATATAGATAAAGTATGTTTGAAATAAACGATTCGTATTGCCGAGGCTGCTATTGGTGTTTTTGGACTCAAGTGGACGGGTTAGGCGGATAAGGGCCAATAAGGACGCTAGATTACTCATATTAATCGAACGTCATTGTCACAGTGTGAAGGTCGTAGAAGGCGTATTCTATTGGTGGACAATTTACGCGAATTACGTCCTTGTTAAATTCGTAAGGTCATAACGAATCAGCGACGACCTTGATCAAGTCATAAAAATCGGCTACCGCCTAGGTCAAAAACATAACACTTTAGTTCAGGTGTTGACACAGACCAGTCCTGGAGCAACAATTCTCATTTAGAGGGGGAGATACGCATCACAGACATCCTGGCATTGTTGCTCAGTGATACCAAAACACCGCATTTTATCAACGCGTTCACCAAAAAGGATTATGTCATCTGCGTATTCTAAGTCGATAAGTAGACCTCCTAGTAGGAGATCAGTTCCTGAAAATCCAGACGACGAGAACATTATTCCCAACGGTAGGTCTATGGTGAAATTGAACAAAAGTGGAGATAGTAGACAGCCTGACTCAACTGGTAGTGTTCGAGTAAAGAATCTTCACAAGGTTTATGTAATTCTATATAACCAATATCCAAGAAATGCATAACGATAGTCGAAAAAAAGGTAAAATGGACCGGCTGCACAAACATGCACACATTCACAGAAATTACTTACTTCGACAACGAGAAATAGAATTTTCATGTAGATACGCAACTTCAACATTATTTACATTATAATTAGCCTCATTCACAGAATTATGAATCTCTCTGAAATTGGCATGATTATCAACATATGATAATTTTGCTCTTTGATCCCCATTAAAACTTTGTGTTCGATTTCTTGAATTCCGAGGTGTCATTGGAATTGACAAAATTTGACTTTTATCATTTATTGATTTTGACTGACCATTTTCTATACAACGTTCACGAACCGATGGAAGCGAAGTAATTGTTGTATAGCCACTAATACTACCACTACCATTGTTATTACTACCACCAATCGATGGAACACGTGACAATAACGTAGGTATATGATTATTTGGTTGGTATTTATCTACATTAACAATATGATTATGACTAGTAATACCAAAGTCGATACCGCTAATAGTAGTTGAACTAACTAGAGGAGTTATAGAACTATTAGACGTGATATACGAATCATAACTTCGTGATAAATTCTTGTATGATGATGATGTTGAAACAGCTTGTTTAGATCTGCAAATAGCTGTTATTGCATTCGCTGAAAGCTGTGTCGTATGATTCAAGCAACAAATAGGTATAAGATTTGATTCTACGGAAGATGATTGGTCTGTTATAGATGATGTCATATGTGTAGGATTACCATCTAGTTGATGACGAACAGTTGATGGTGAACAATAATCACTTGTAATGGAATCGTGAGATTTTGTTAAATTCCCACTGATTACTTCATTCGGTAGTTGGTGTGATTTTTTACGTTTATTTTGGTTAGATGGTGATTGATATGATGGGTAGGCGATACGGTAGATAGGAAGAGATGATTTAGTGATAGTAATAGACGTAGTAGTAGGAATAGTATCATCACAATTTTCCTTTGGAACATTCCTATATGATATGTAAGGTAGAAGCGATAATAACAATGAGAAAAAAGTGGCTATAACCTAATTGAAAACATTTGAATATAATGGGAGTATATTGATTTAACGAAACCACAAGAACACAAATTAGAATGACTAAAGAATTCAGAATGGGGACATGTGAATGGTAGTTTAGTTTGAAAAAAGCTTAGATATTATGATAGACAAAACATTTTAACACAAACTATGGCAAGTGAGCTTTCTCATTAAATTTGAATCATTATTGAATACAGTAGAAAGTTGATTGTGAATAAGCGACCATAGAAACAGTCCATTGTTCATACCATTCGTCTTTTCGAACTATATCCTCGAAAATTAATTTCTCTCATCATTTAGAGCACTTAGTTTTGTTATCTTGTTCATTTGATCGCTTACTGTACTGATGCAAAATGTGGCAACTTAGAACCATACATAACTGTCCTAAGATCTATATTGTATTTGTCCAAGTGATCAAGTAAATGATATGAAGAACAAGAGTAAACACTAACAGTTAGACAATTAAGAAGGCTTATATCAATAAATCAGTGTTTTGAGTGATGATAAGCCGACTAAAATGTTGGGTTATTTAAAACTGTTGCTCGGAAATGTCTATAGAGGCCTACAAAATGCTAGGAAACATTTTGTTCAATCAATGTTAAATAAATGCTTCTCAGAAATATCTGGAAAGTGAAGAGTCACCTTTCACGTTATCGATTGGGTATTTACCTACACTGCTACTATATTTAGTATGGTTTCAGAAAATTCCAAAATCCAAAGTAATTCTATTAATACCCTAGTATTTCTGCATGTAAACAAACCTATGGTTAACCGTTTTTGCACTTTACGCCGGCGAGACTAAAATTTATGGACAAGCCAATCAGGAGAGTCTGAGGGATTTCAAGGTCACTGCGGCAATTTCAGTACCTGGTGCTTATGTACGATCGGTTCACAGAGGATTTTAGAGAAACCGACGATTAAGCGGCTACAATAAGTGAGATTACTAAGAAGTTCCTTTATTTGAAACAGCAGCGATCAAATGATTTGTAGATCTTGTGCAGACTACCGTGATATCCTTCGATTTAACACATTTTGAAGGAAGACTTTTGCTAGAATAAGAACACTTTTCACCCGATCCAGATTGAGAATAAGGCAAATTATGATAATTGCCGCGAACTGTATAATAAAAGCACTAGTAAAATCGGCTGCAATAATTGCAGATGTCACTGAAACTTCGGCTGTTCAGTGGTATGAGTATTGTAGGGACACATCCATAATAAAAATGATAAACTTACACAAACGGAGTACACACAAACAATTTTGAAGCTATGTGGTGTAGGCAGAGAGGGTTTTTGTAACCTTATCATGGTTCCAGAGACCAACTATTATGGAGCCGTATGGATGACTTCCTGTACCTTAAGCATTGCGATTTTAGAACCTTTGAACCTCTTTCTAACATTGACAAGTTTTTGGATCATATAAAAGAAGTGTATCCACTTTAACTCTTTGGTTTTGTATGATATATTTTTACTCTATGCTGACGGTTTACTGATTGGCTAACATTTCTCAAGGTCACTCAAGATTCGTTCAAAGGTCGTCCATAAATTATAGTTTCGTCCTTTGCGCCTTTTCTCTTGTGTTCAAGTTGCTGTGTAGATTTAAAATGGATTTGTTAGAAGCGGTCAAGAAATCGAACCAAACATTCATTTAGCAAGATTTATCACCGATCATATTACTGAGCACTATCTATTTACCTGAGTTCTCCTAATTACTTAAATAATCATCCATGGTATGTTTATCATTATAAACCGTTAACTTGATCATACGTATCCTTTCAAATTAGATTTATATATAAAAAATCTTAATCAATTAATGGGGTCACTTCTATTGTAATACCACCCTATCAATACTTATCGAATAAATCATATAACCTATTTTCAATCAAATGTGTTCAATGCATTACTATACACAAATAAAAATATATCCTTTACATACAAAGTAAGCCGTTTATTAATCAAAAATTACTTTCAGAATAAATTTTAATATGACGTACGTTTGCTGATTGTCAGATTGGTTATCATCTCTTGGTAGGTTTTCGAAAAATGTCGAAATGGGTACATCATTTGAGTGTTTAAAAGAAACAACCTGCAAGACAATTAAGTATACATTAAGAAATATAATATTGACGTCAGTGAGCAAAATAAAAAGTTTAAACACTTATTCATTAAATAGAGTAAAGTATTTAACTTACAACTAAAGGAAGAAGTTAGAGATTCGAACTCAAATCACCACTTACTTTATTTTAAACAGTCATATAATATCAATAAGACTTAGACAAGAAAAGATGTGAAACTTAGTTAAAATCCTACCTGTAGGGAATAATTAATATTCCCACACTACATCAATATGTTTACAAATTCACTTAAAAATTCATTCAGTATTGTCTGTTTGAATCTTCCCATCGATGTTTAGGACTGCAACTGGTCAGTCTCTAATTGGTATATGTGCATAATGTGCGAAATGCCTCGACTGAACATTGCCAGAGTGAACATCAATTCTGAGATGAAGGTATATCCAGCTGACGAGTCCCGAATAGGAAGAAACGCGTGTCCTGGATTCCACGGCTAGACACTATCCATCTTTGCTTACAATATGTCACTTATAGTTTCTATTTTACATACTACATTTCATTTAACAATTTTCAAAAAACGATTAAATAACTGCTTAAATTATCTGAAGCTTATTAAATGTATATAATAGGAAATTATTAGAAGGGGTTTTGTGGAGATTTGGTATGTTTCATAGTTGAAAGCATGAGTCAGTTGAAGCTAGACCACCAAGGAAAACCTGGAAACGGCTGTCCAGTGTTTCCAGGTTTTCCTTGGTGGTTTAGCTTCAATTGACTCATGCTTTCAACTATAATAGGAAATATAAATTCCAAGTAGAATACAATGTACATTGTGGTAAAGTTAACAAAAATTATTTAGTATTAAAAGATATACTACTAATAGTAGACAAAATAGGTCTACATAAATGTTATATCCCCTGGTGAATGATGAATTGTAAATCTGAGGTATATTATGGACAAAGGTAATATGCCTAATTCCTATTGTATAGTTGTTAAATAACTGACCTAATTGTATTCGTGTTCCTCTTATCATAACCTTTATTTTGACCTTTGAACTATTGTTATTGATTACTTTCCCCCTATCCATAGCCACATTGGCCAATTACTGTACAAATGTTATTTTTCTATTTTTTGGTATAATTGGGTCTGTTTGGTTAGTATATATAATCCAGTATGCTTGTGAATAATGATTCATATTGCTGAGGCTGTTATTTGTGTTCTGGACTTAACGGGCTGGGCTAGGCAGATAGGAAGGACCGAATAGCACCCAATACTGTTCGTACGTATTTTCGGTAATCATTGCACGTCCATATCATTTTACGAGTTTGCATACGTTCATAACAATTGGCGACGGGTGAAAAAAAAATGGCTCTAACTTCCAACCAATTTCAGTTGCTAATCCAGCAACTAGAACAGCTCGTTAGAAAGAGTCAATTGGATTTCATTGACAAATTACACGCGAAGCTGCTGAATCACCCATGTTTTGGGGGTGAAACGGAAGTTGACGCAATAATTTCAAAATTGCGTACGGAGCTGGAAAACGATTACAGAACTAATGAATATGCCGGCGAAAGCCTCAATGAATCCGTACAAAACAGTAATTTAAATGCAGCAGTAGCAGTCCTACATGATCAGCCCAGTAGTCCGGTACTGCCTGTTTCAGACACATGCCCTATACACGGTCCAAGTCCTATTAACCCCGTAAACGGACGTGCAAACAGTGGATCAACCTCTTTACAGAAAGACAATGTTTTGCTAAATGCCCATGAAATTGCTGCAGTACCCGCCCACGAAGAAACGGGGAACAAACCGAACAGTATAGTGAATACAGTGGCGCCAAATGAAACTAATCATGATGAAAAAAATTTTTCTAATGAATCTAATGATCAAAATTATCTAATTGTTCTGCCAGATCCCGATTATTTCGCTGATTCATATGTTCCTGTTCAAATCTCTTATAAAAATGTGAGAAAAATATCGGATGCATTAAATGATAATCAAGAATCCAATACAACTCTCATAGATGCTGATTATCCTAATGTTTCATTATCTACTAATGAGGTTCCGAGGAAATTCAAGGGAACTATTTCAGAAGAATCAAATGTTGGTGACCTCAAATCAAATGTCGTCGATCCTCATGATCTCGTCAGTTCTAATGGATTCCCTGTTAAATGTGTCAAACATGACAAACATATCGAATTAATAGTAACTTGGTTATATGAGGATCCAACAGTCTTTCGTGGGGGAGGGGGAATTCGAGAAATTTAAAATCCGGATATCAACTCCGGATTTCTCAAAAAGGGGAGGTGTTATATCCCCTGGTGAATGATGAATTGTAAATCTGAGGTATATTATGGACAAAGGTAATATGCCTAATTCCTATTGTATAGTTGTTAAATAACTGACCTAATTGTATTCGTGTTCCTCTTATCATAACCTTTATTTTGACCTTTGAACTATTGTTATTGATTACTTTCCCCCTATCCATAGCCACATTGGCCAATTACTGTACAAATGTTATTTTTCTATTTTTTGGTATAATTGGGTCTGTTTGGTTAGTATATATAATCCAGTATGCTTGTGAATAATGATTCATATTGCTGAGGCTGTTATTTGTGTTCTGGACTTAACGGGCTGGGCTAGGCAGATAGGAAGGACCGAATAGCACCCAATACTGTTCGTACGTATTTTCCGTATCATTGCACGTTTCATATACAATAACGATTGTTATACGTTCATAACAATAAAAAACGACGACTCACTTTAACACGTGGGAACGGTTTGCCCATTTCAATATATTTCAATTCTTGTGCTGATTTAAAATAGCTATTTGTAGATTAACAAAAAGCAAAAGATTATTGATTTGTTTTCTCAATGAAAAAGTAAACCTACCTGCAATTGATCCAATGAGGTGCAACATATTCTTCTGGATTTATAAACGATTCAGATAAAATCTAGAAAGGAAGACGAGAAAAAGAAAAAAATGGTTGATAAAATTAGGTATCATAATACATTAATCCATAAAAAAACAACCCATGTTTTGAAATAAGTTCAAGGATCCAGAGTCAAGGTAAATATTTGCATTCCAAAAAAGCGTTTGTTTATAAAATGGTACACAACTCCTGCTTCGGTTTGGGCACCCGGATAGTATTACAGCCCTCATACAAATCAATAACTACTATTCGCTTCATTGTTAATGAGTGGTGCATATGTATTTGGTGCCCCCTTGTACCAATGTACCAATAAAATAAATAGTAACGACTAAATAATAAATGTATTTGATAAACTTCAATGAGTGAGGTATCTTAAGTGACTACATGTTTTAAGGTACTATAAACGAAGAAATACTTATCAAAATAGTTACCTAAGTTTTATTTAAAATAATATACGATGAATTAATCAACAATCAGACTTAATAATGACGGGGAACTATATTGTGAATGAATATTCTCACTTGGAGGTAATGCTACTTTGCTGACTACTAAGATTTGAAAGTCCCAGGTTCAATATTGTGTGAGATCAGGTGTTTATAATACTGATGAGAATTTTTGAATTGAAACAAAGGAATTATGTGATGCTCTCTGATTCAAAAATGCTTTTTACATCTAATATCAGTCCGTGGAGAAAACCATTCTGTCAAAATATTTATGTATTTAGCATATTGAACATTGGGAATAATGGTAAAAACCAAGACTTATGTTCTGGAGGGGACAATCTGGCCAAGCTGCACATGTGAAAATAGAGACTCAGTCAGTCAGCAACAACGTAGGACCAGGCACATTTATGCATCGGTCCAAGTTGCCATACCTCGTTAGCACAACAAGATGAACACCGGATTCATAGAAATAGTTAATTTAGTGGCGGTAGTATATAAAAGAAAGATAGTATATAAGGATATACTATAGGAAGGAAGACAGATATGAAGCACTTTTAGTCTCAAGGTTTAAGGGAAGATAAAGAGTGTATACACCTGCGCCATTCTGATTGATTCTGAGCCATGTCACCTAGAGTCTCCAACCGTTGGTTACGATGATCAGGAGGACCTCAACCAAGTAGTCTGCATCTACCAACATGGTTCAGACTAGACGTTAGTGACTTCAAGCGCTGATGCCACGTTTCGGTTTGGTCGCCACTTAACTTTCTTCTGTCTGGCTCCAACATTGGTCAGCACGGAGTGACGTGGTAGTCGGTGGTTGTGTATGCGTAATACTTGGCCCAACTACCTCAGTCGATGAAGATTCATCACCTCATCAACTGATTTACCATCATCATTCCCTAATACCCTGCATCTAACTCCACTATTACTTACCCGGTGATCCCGGGAGATGCAAGCAATATTTCTAAGGCATCTGTGGTCAAATACTAATAACTTACGAGTATCTTCTACTCTTAATGGCCATGTTTCACAGCCGTAAAGTAGAACAGAGCGAACTGCTGCGCAGTATACCCATCCCTTGATAGAGACTGATCAACGATAGCCCTTAATATGAAAGATAGGAAACTATAAACACTAATGAGTTCATATACATATTTTATCTAGTATAAACTTATGATAAACATACTTTAAACAATGGAACTGCATGAAGAGGTTGTTCTGCTAGACAGATTAAATCTACTCCAACACCTATACTCAAGAATTAAAGATGTAATAACAATAATATAAGTGGAAATAACGAAATAACAAAAACGGGCAAAATTAAATTATTTCACAACACAAAATTGAGTATCGTAAAAGAAAGCAAATCTTCAGTCATATAGACTTCAAGAGATATTTCCTGGAGTTCTAGTGGGAAACAGTGACCAGTGGAGTTCAACCAGGTCTGTTGTAGAGATATAAACTCACTGAAGACAATTAGTGAACGGTTGCTCAGATTTTGTGGATTGGTTGAAGTTAGACATTAACACCGTTGGATGCCGGCCAGCTCAGTGGTCTATCGGTTAAGTTCTCTGGCGCGAGACTGGTAGGTCCTGGGTTCGAATCTCGCGAGGCGGCATCGTGGAAGCACACTGCTGAGGAGTCCCATAATAGGACGAAACGGCCGTTCAGTGCTTCCAGATTTCCCATGGTGATCTAGCTTCAATTGACTCATGATTTCTAATACTTTTTAGGGGTTCCCTATTATCAACAATCTGAATGTCAGTGTTATCGATAAGTCTATTACGAGGATGATTTCTGTGGGAAAAGTAAAAGACGAGACTATACTTTATGGACGAACAGATCAGATTTAAGATGACAAGTCTTGGATTTTGGCGTCAAATTCTATCCATCCATTTGGCTAAATAGCATTTCAGCATTATAGCTGATGTAGATTCGTGATGTAAATCCTTAATCCAACTCCTAACCCCCAAGTTCAGCTATAAATCCTAATCTTAATTTCTTACACTAATTTATAGTCTAGTAAGTGGACATTCTCAAGGTCAATGTAGTGTCGCTCAAAGGTCATCCATCAATTATAGTTTCAGTGAGTGAAAATTTAGGGATTTTATTGCCGTGTTTATTGTGTTTAGAGTAACAGGAGTATGCAGCAGTTACAATCGACACCCGAAGCAAAAAAGATAACAAAATCAAAGTCACAAGGAATGTATGTCAGATTAAGTTAAAACACTACATTAGAATATCCACGATAAAATTCAATCCAAACCTCCTCGTGATGCTAAGCCCTATGAAACAAAATGGGTGATCGAAGGAGATCGGACTAATCCGCCATTCTGTTGCGAAACTAAATTAACGAAAGCTTTTAATCTCGTGGCAGTCATCTATGTATAAAATAAAAGTGATTACAAGGACTGCATTTACACATATACATATACCTGGAATGGATCGACCTCTGATCTGTATATTCCAGGTAAGCATGCATAGCTGGTATTCAATGGGTAGAAAAAAGAAGGGCATCTGCGCTTATGCATAAACTATGGAATGGATAAATCCACATGATCTGTGCACTCAATTAAGCAGGCAATGTATACTTGTAATGATGAGTGATGTCCATTTATCCCTTTCCAACTGTTAAGTAAATACCTAGCAAAAAAAGAAGAGACTATCTTTTCTAGTCAGTTTCTTCAAAAAGGTTTCATGCTATCATGCCTATCATATAATGCTTATACTCTTATTACTTCTACCACTATTGGATTCGAATCGACAACTGCATCTCTGCGCTAATGTAATATGGCAACTCGAACTGATGTACGTACTTACGAAGTTCTACGTTGTGACTGACTGAACTGACTGACTGCTGACGAGTGCCAAGTAATAACTAATGAAAATAACACAGTCCGTTAATTTCATTATTTAAAAAAGAATAATTTATTTACCACTTAAATTTTGTACTCACCTAAATCAAGAACTCGTTTTTTAGTTAATAATAAAAGATTTTCATTGACATGATAAACACCAGAACCTGGTGTAATTACAAATAGAAGTTTACCAGTACGGTCAAAATTTCGATCAATATTATATCCCGAATAAACTATATATATTGTAAAAAGAAAAAAGAGGTAAACTGTTGTTGAAAGCGAAAAACTTAATGGAATATTGTTTCATTCACAATGAATGAAAAAAATATTCCATCAACAACTGCATCTCTGTGCTAATGTGATATGGCAACTCGAACTGATGTACGTACGTACGTAAGAAGTTCTACGTTGTGATTGATTGACTGACTGACTGATTGTTTTACTCAATAAATGAATTTGAATTGAGAAACATATTTTCCAAGTTTCCTTACTAATCATTAAGAAATATAATATACAACCACCTCGATAAAGATACATTGTGGGAGGCGTACGTAAGCAAAGAGAAAACCAGAGAAGTATTTCAAAAAAAGAGTTGAGTACATGGCATTGTTAAAGAAATCAGTAATAGGGAACGAAGTAAATATTATTAGAACACAAATCTCATTGGACAAAAGATGGTTAACGTCATCTAGAAGTCAAGTAAACAACAATATAGTATGGTTGAGAGAACTGGGATAAATTTAACTGACTAATTCGAAAATAATTTTAACATATTTATCATAATAAGAGAAACATTCAACGCTCAGTAGATCTAAGATCAAAAACTGCATGAATTGGTTTTACAACTTGATTTAATCACTCGGATGATTTCATCGAAATATTCTAATGTGTGGGCGATGAGAGTAATGATTGGTTGTCTGCTTAATCAGACTTGTAAATAGTCTGACAGGTATTACATGAGTTATGTATTGTTGTTGTCGCTTTTCGGTGTGAAAATATATTTACATCCTATTTACATCCAGTCCAGTCACGTGTTCCTGATCTGAGTTGTGTTGATATCCTGTAAAATAGACACTGGGAGGGTATCTAATGTCGATACTCGTCTAAGGCAAATTAGCGTCCAATTCGTGTAGATGGGGAAAACCAAGCGTTATAACATAATCACACTTGAACCGATATCGCACATATCAGTATATGTATTGGAGAATAGGATTTATTCGTTAGTGATGTTTCTTTTTTACATATTCTCACCCACTCACCCTACATTAATGAAAACTATCGTCCAATGAAATAATTATTTTTTTAACATAAAGGTATTGGTTATGATTGTTTTAAAAGGGGTATGAAAAGGCAGCGATTCTCAGTTTCAATGCTACATAATTACAAATAATAATGATATGATTGGCATCGACGATTTATTCTTGAAAGTGGTCACAGACAAAGAAAATATGTTCTTGTCTATGTTGTTTCTAGTAGCGTTTCCGTCAATTGAAGAGTTAAAAGATGCTGGTGAAGAATTTGAAAAGGCAACTCTAAGTCATTTTGCTGTTCGTGATTCTCATTTTCATAAGAAACAGAAACCGTACATGAAAATTATATGTTGGTGAAACGCTCGCACAAATACAAGAAATGAAAACCCTATTCGAAGAAGGATGCATGTTGCATTACTTTATTGGATTGCTTCTTGAAGGGTTCCAATGAATTATCAATGTCCAGCTGATATCTAATTCAAATTTATCGAAGGATACTGGACAGTTGTTCGTGTCCACTATTAATAATTCAGTATTATTGGACGTTTAGCATTTATTAGACATACCATTTACATTATCTTACCAACGTGACTTATCCATGTTTTCTAAACATTTATCATTATTTTTCCATCTTAAATGATACTGTGGTGGAAGATACTCAAAGGATTGTTTGTCAGTAGTGTAGATACGTAGAAACACTACAATATTCAACAAGATTTGAGATTTACTTGGCTTCCTAAGATTCAGTTCTTCATCTACGCTATCATACGTCACACAGACAGTTTTATTTACTTTAATTTAGCATACATTCTAAGGTGTCAGTGCAAAAATCAACAGCGTCAATTTGATATGGCAAGGATTGAAAATCATACCACAGAAATGTCTGTCTTGTTTTAATAAATTATGTTAAACTACTTATTAGTAGATCGAAAAGTTACTTAAAATAACTAGACAAATGAAGTACTTATAGTACTTATAAAATTATCATTATTATTATTTAAACACATAAATATTGGTACAAAATGGGCACCAGATATATATGCGCCACACTAATCTCATTTGATTTGTATGAGGGCTGTGATACTGCCAAGGTGCCAAAACTGAAGCAGGTGGTTTTCTCACAGGGCCACACCCCAAGCCTTTGACCTAAAGATCTGATCCACAAGGCAGTGGAACATAGTGAGGAGATGCAGTCCCATGGTAGCCGGTGACCAGTGATTGGTTCATACGCCATTTGTTCCCTCAGGATACTTAGTCCATGTAAACCATTGGTTTGGAATCAGGGTTTTCGAACTCCCCTAGGTGGACGCGCCGTGTCCACCAACCCGGTTAAAGCACCGGACATTCGCTTTTCGTCCTCTCAATTTCGTAAACAACACCCCGACACGAGAAGGCAGTGAGTAGGACTTCCCTGGCAGAAGCTTTATACGCGTAGCCATGTGAGAGCATTTCGAGAGGGAGAGCGAACTTTCCCCACTCTCAGCCGTACCAGGGCATTTGGGGGCACTTGTAAAACTATCCTACACTGATTCCTAACTCTTAATCTCATCTTTAACTTTCGTAAGCATATAGACAAAAGGTTGTCAATGGTTCATTGTTACTAAAGCTGATGTCATTTCGTGATGAAAACTCTATGATATGATAACGTTAAGTGATAACACAACTCAACTATTTCCTTTTACTATAACGAATAATTCAACATATAGGGAACAATTAATTATATCGCAACTACTATTCCATTGTAATGTTATTGGCTTTCATTGTTAGTTGTTTTATGAATTAAGCAGTGCTTGCTTATGGGCTAATAGGCCACTTAAGATCATCAGTATTGTATACTTTATTTTTTTATTATTTTTATTTGAACACATAAATATTGGTACAAGGAAGCACCAGATACATATGCGCCGCACAAATCTCATTTGATTTGTGTGAGGGCTATGATACTGCCCCAGTGCCCAGACCGAAGCAGGTGGTTTTATGAGGAGGCTACACCCCGAGCCTTTGAACTAAAGATCTGATCCACAAGGCAATGTAGCATCGTGTTAGTGTTAATAGCCAGCCCTAAATAGTACGATTAACCCTTATACATAAAAATATATGAATATACGCTCAATTAACAAGAGAATACCAATTCCCACTAACGATAGATATGTATAATATTAAGAACAGGAAACTTACGATTGATAGCCATATTCAATACTTCCAAGAGATTAGCATCCATAGCTGTACAAATATTTAACTTTGTTTTATTTGAGTTTTTATTAATTAATGGATAAGTATTACGTAAATAAGAGTAAATATTATTTTCAAATTGAAGTACTTCATATTGCATTCGACCAAGTTCTCGTTTCCAATCATCTGTTGTAAAACGTTCATTTTGTATAATCACTCTTGATAATAAAACAATAAACAAAATATAAATAGTGATGTGTTTTAACACGAATAAATGATACACAATCAATGAAATATAGAAAACGGAAATTGTTGAACTACCAAACCAACTTAATATTCAAGCATAGAAAGGTGATCTGGATCTGCGAATCGATTGATGGGATAGTGAATGTTCATTAAATGTGGTGGTTGAGATATCTATTGTGTATGTTTAACAACAGTCTGCATCGATGAGCAATGTCTATTGATGTAGGAATAGGATTTTAAAAAAAATTAGGAGTAGCTAAACCAAAACCTGGCATCAGTCCATGAAGTCATTGACTGTGGGACATTTTGTCAGTGATTTCATGTATTTGTGCCACGTTTTGGTCTGGCCACCTCTAACTTTCTTCCAACCTACTCCTACACCATAAAACATCGCACGTCGGTGGTTGAGCATACGTAACACATGTCCCAGCCATCTCAACTGAAGAAGTTTTACTACTTCATCAATCGATTTGCCATCCTTACCTAGTACCCGTTTCCTAACAAGTGCATTACTTACTCGGTGGTCCCACGATATACGAGCAATGCTTCGAAGACACCAATGATCGAAAACTAGTAGTCTACGAATATCCTCTACTCTTATCGGCCATGTTTCACTGACATAAAAAGTAGGATGGAACGAACTGCTGCGCAGTAAACCCGTCCTTTGGTTGCTAGACGGATATCTCGCCTACGCCATAAATGACACAAGTTGGTAAAAGCTAGTAGAGTGGCTGAGTTAATAACAGTCTAATCCATTAGTCGCACAGACAGATGTAAGATTTTATTACAACAATTAAACAATTTTATTTAATAGTCTTTATATTCTCTAGGTTTTTTCCTTTCTACTATTTATGATAATTGATATGCCATACGCCAAGTGGTGAATGAGAATATAAAGACGTCAACTTTTTAAGATGCAGAGCCAATAGATCAGGCGATTTTAGACAAATTACATGTTACTGGAAGGTCAAAGAGGCCTTAATCTTCTCACTATGAAGAACTGATTGGGTAAGAGTTAAGTGTGTATTATGACTTAATCACAATAGCAGACCATACAAATACCACTATTTTTCAAACTCCCTCGCTGTTAGTCTCATTACTTTCATCTCACTTTGTTGATATGGTGTGGGAGTTTAGCGTGATAAATAACTGTAAGATCCTAAGTTGATTATAGATAAATCTCCTGACTGAATGCTTGGATCGGTTTCTTAAGCTCTTTTAGTAAGCCTAGACTAAATCTACACGACAACTAGAACAAGAGAGAAAACATGTGAAATGTAAAAAGAACACCTTACTCCAAGGTTAGTTTTATGTACAGAAAATTGATTGTATTTATAACATTGGGCTTCTGAATGGTTTTGGGACTCTACTAAACATAATAACAGGATAGATAATCGTCCACTCAGAAATGTGACGCATGACTCTTCACTCAATAGATGTTTCTGAGAAACTTCTATTCAATACTGACTGGCTAAAATTTTTCCCAGTGTTTTCAGGACCCATTTGGACTGTTTTGGAAGAATACTCTAGGTCTCTCCAATAATTATGACTAGCGTTATAACAGATTTTAATCCTACAGCACCAAAGTAGGTTTCGACAATACATAAGGTTAAAAGTGTACTACATGGATCTATGTTCGGTTTATAAACAGGACTAATTTTTAGCATTTCAAACTATACAGTCGTTAAGAATACTAAGAATTTCAACAAATTTCCTACTTGACATCATATATCCACGATAATTTTACCACACAGGTTTTTTTAATTTAGTTCGTTAAACATGCCTAAGAGAGTAAAATTCCTGTTGTTCATAACCCCAGAGAAACGTTTTAGTGTGACACCATAACAATTTCAGAAATACCACTGTGATATTTGCTACTTCAAAACTACAGAACTGTTATATCTTGTGGCCGAGTGGATGCCTTGTTAATGCATGACGTGATAAGAGCGCCAATCAGAGAGCAGTGAATTATCGGTTGGAGCAGTGACACGCGAAACCGTACGAGCAGTCTAGAGTGCTAACCGGTCCTGCGATCTGCTTAGCCCAGCCAGTTAAGTCCAAAACACCAACAACAGCCTCTGTGATATCAATCAAGAACTACAATAACTTCATTTCAATTTTTATTGAAAGATTATATAACTAAAGTTTTCAGTGCATACATAAACCATGTGTTATCGTAGACTATGACCAACTCAATCGATGAAACTCTCATATTATTTTAAGCTGAGTTAGTTAAATAAGTGTATCATTTCTATGTTGATAGGATTTACAGTATGTTCCTGTTGAGCTGTTACATTACAAAACCAAGTCAATAAATCAGGTCTGTGTTACATAATATTAACTTAGCAGAACTAGCTTACACGTGCTCTGTAGTTTTTTTCAAATTTATTTGTCTATGAATGATATATACTGCTAATGTTACTACATAACTTACCAACTACACATTTGTATATTTGGGTTTGAGCTAAACTATTTGTGTGAGGCCTAGTGGTACTATTTGGTTGGCTAAATGGAATTTTATCAGTCAATTTATACGCAACGTAGAATTCAACACATGTGGATTGGTTTAATTTGCCATACTACATTAACAAAATGAGATAAAGTAGTAGCAGAAGTAATAATAGCGTGAATAGTATCAGTGGTAATACTGGTAGAAAGGATTATGAGTAGGAAAAGAAAATGAAACGATAGAAAGTGACTTCACGACTCAAGTCCTAAAGAAAGAAAAAAACGAATGTAATTCTACACTACTGTGAACGATTTCCAGCCAAAATCGAAGTAACAGCAGTGAGATTCAAAACTAATTGTTAAGACTTAATGGAACTATCAACCATTAACAAAATTGAATGGTGAATAACAAATCATTAAAAAAACGTTATAAAAATGACCGTTATTTTGAAATAATGTTTTGTTTTTATTTTACTAATTATCATATTGGCTTTGTGGATGATTCATTTACCTATTCAGTCAGTCAAATACAACGTAAAACCAGGTACATATATTTATTATTTATTTAAACACATAAATATTGGTACAAAATGGGCACCAGATATATATGCGCCACACTAATCTCATTTGATTTGTATGAGGGCTGTGATACTGCCAAGGTGCCAAAACTGAAGCAGGTGGTTTTCTCACAGGGCCACACCCCAAGCCTTTGACCTAAAGATCTGATCCACAAGGCAGTGGAACATAGTGAGGAGATGCAGTCCCATGGTAGCCGGTGACCAGCGATTGGTTCATAAGCCATTTGTTCCCTCAGGATACTTAGTCCATGTAAACCATTGGTTTGGAATCAGGGTTTTCGAACTCCCCTAGGTGGACTTTTCGTGTCCACCAACCCGGTTAAAGCACCGGACATTCGCTTTTCGTCCTCTCAATTTCGTAAACAACACCCCGACACGAGAAGGCAGTGAGTAGGACTTCCCTGGCAGAAGCTTTATACGCGTAGCCATGGGAGAGCATTTCGAGAGGGAGAGCGAACTTTCCCCACTCTCAGCCGTACCAGGGCATTTGGGGGCAAGTTGCCATACCTCATAATTTATCTATTATTATGATTAAAACAGATACACTGGTTCCTCATGTCATAAAAAAATAATGAAGCATTATACATATAAGAATATAAAATTACAAATTATTTAACAATAATCATAACAAACACATGAGAATCAAACTAATACACTACCTGTAAAAATCTTCATAATATCTACTTAAGGCATCTTGTTTAAACGACTGAGAGTATTCAGAAGGTACATCTAGAAAAAATAAAATACTTAAGAACTATGGATAACTAGTGGAATGCATTATATATAGAAATCAATTAGTATCACAATCTTGAAAAACCGACTTCAATGGCCTGGATATGTTTTACGGATATAGCCCAGCGGCTTTCACGTCATGCAGTAGATGTCGAAGATGGGACTGGGCGGGAAAAGTGTGAAGAAGTGGTCACTTTATTACATAGCGCCGCGTTATTAAAGTAGCTGTAAATAGACCACGACTATCTGGTCAGGGTTCTGGAGATGATGAAACTCAATGGCTTTCGACGCTAACAGAAATGGCTCATAATAGAGGTCAACAGCGATTCTGATGTAGTTTTCCCCATATTCTTTATATAAATGAGATTAGATCCCCCAACCGAGTCTTTCTTGATTGCATTTTAAATAAATCACACCTTTTATCAGAAATTATTCTTGTTCAATTGTTTTATAGTTACTTTTTCCCCTCCATTTCTTTAAAACTTTATCTCCGTATGTGCGTGGTATATTCTACTTTTTGTGCCTGACTTGGCCAGACTTTACAGGTATTCATTAAAAATATTTATTTGAATTTTCGCCACGAGCAGAGATCAGTTACAGAGAAACTGAAAACTAGTAAACACTAGAAAATGGTGTCTTAATTCATGACGCTTGCAAAAGGTGTATTTAGGTCCCTAGATAGGAACGAACTTGTCGCTCATAGGCTTACATAAAACATCATTAACCACATATTCATTTGTGTTATTCACTCTTGTATAATCACTATAGTCTTTCTGTTTCTGTACTACCACTTTCTTTCCTTACGTCGAGGAATATACGTCTATATAATATACCCGGTGGTAAATTTAATTAGATCTATCGGATAGAATCAGTATCTCGTTTAAAAAATTATATGTATAAAGCAAGTTTTGACAGATGACTCACAATTGAGTATTTGTTATATCAACTGACTAGAAACTACTGGATCACTTCAGACAACCTCAGGAATGATGAAACTCAATATTACAGTACAAGTCAATTGGTAAAATGGATGGTATATTAGTATGGTAAGGTACTTAAAGTACCATATTATGCATCGAGGAATGAGTATCTCAGACAATATAGGCTAACTGGATAACCACGTTAAGTAAACTGTACCATCGTCTCAAGCTGGTAGCTACTGAGGATTTCTTATTGATGTCACCATATAGAAATGTACTGCAAGTATTATCAAAAACAATCAGAAAACATTCACTGAAGAATTTCATATCCAAAGAACCATTACTAAAGCAACTACTTAAAAAAATCCACGAACACGGATGATTCTAATAAGAATGAAGAACTGATAAAATCAAGTTTTTAAAAAACCACGCTTGTGATTTAGTTTGAACTAATTTTATCATATAACTATAAACAAATTTCAGAATTAGGGACCACAGAGTTCATAATGATTCAATTTCTACAGCATTTGATTTGTAATCCAGCTAATCAGCTTAACAATTATCACTAATTATTAGGTGCTTCAGCCGTAAAAAATATTATGAAATTAAAACAAACTGAATATAGTGGAGAATCCCATAAAAAAAGATTTTATGAAGACTAAATGAACAAAAATTAGGCTTAATTGCACAATGAACAAATAATAAACAAAATTAAATGTCGAATTACTGTACAATAGTCCTTTTTTCATAATAAAATATAGTTGTTAATAGTGATCGTTCTCCAAGGAGGTTATAACTAATGAACAATATTTGCATGATAAGATGGTGGTTGGAGGTGGTCAACAGGAAACCCTGAACCCGGGTTTCGTGCTACTTGGCACTCGTCAGAAAGGTGTACCTGTAATCTTGAGGGAACTGGTGCTCCCTGAAGGATTCGATCCCGTGTCACTCAGCTTCACAGTCAGAGACGTTACTACTGAGCGACTCAGACCGCGACCGACCTCCTGTAGGACTGAGATGCAATCACAATTGATTGACCACTGAGTGGTGATCAATGTCATGCGTGTCAAGTCCTTCTTAGTGCTGATTGAATGCTATCGATATTTGCATGAGTACAAAAGGCCAACAATAAATTCAACTAATTATAATACGCTGGAAGCAACAACTTAAAAGAATACAGTAGAACTTCCGTTAATACTAACCAAAACCTAAAAAAAATTGAGATCCGAATTACACTCAACTTACCATCAATATAGATACGAGTAAAGAACACAACAGTCGTGTCATGATTACAATTATTTTCCTAGAAATTGAATAACATTATTATAAAATAAAACTAACAGGCCAAAATTTCAAAAAGAGTTTAGACAAGAATTTGAAAGCTTTTTCGAGGTAAAGATCACCATTATTATCGAACCACCACATTTCTTGACTCATTTGTATGAAAATATGTATGACTGCTGTGGAAGAACGAAAAATAATCTTTTAATTTTATTAATATTTGTAAATAGTTATTGACAAACTTTAGTTTTTGAATTTATATATCCACAAGAGTATCTTTCACCAAGACGCCATAAATCACCAACCTGTGTTCTACATGATGGTAAGATTATTCATACATGTACATGTGAATACAAGTAAATACCTTGTTTCATTACAAGTGAGCTTCTTATTTACATGTACAACAGTACCAATCTATGAAGAAAAAGGAATGGATTCCAAAAAGGAACTAAATAATTACTAGTTTCTGCGTAATATTGCAAAAGTCTCTTCGACTGAAGTATTGATCTCGAAAGTATAATTCAACTAAATCCAATGAAATAGTCTATTACAAAAAAACAGGAACTATGAAAATTAGAAGTACTGACTTCTTTATTTATCACATTTACAATCACATTTTTATGTTGTTGCAATTTGAATGTATGTGCAAGACTTTGTTCCACACTGATAACATCTAGGAATAAATAATAAATATAAACGATTGGTCGTAAAAATTGCAGCAATTAGCATTACCACGATTTTGTAGATCATCACTGAGAGTTGTAACCAAGAAAAGAGCATGATGTGCATCTTCAGGATGATAAACTTCAATAACATCTCCAATATTAATATTATGGCCTCCTCTTGAGCTAATTATTACATCTGGGCAAACAAAAACCATACTTAATAAAATAAATTATTACACTAACCAGTAACGAAACCTCGTGAATCATTACGAGAATGATAATGTAATTTGAACTTTTGCTTTACCACCATACATAAAGTCTAAAATAAGAATAAAATTTTTTGGCATAAAATACGAATTGAAATAAAGATAGCCGGTTACACCTTTATATACTTATGACTTAGATAAATATATAGTGGACTAAAGTTAGAGAAGATAGAAGTTTAAAAGAAAACCGAAGTAGGAATATACAATGCTGTATTTTTAACTGTAAGTCAGGGTTATTTATTGTATGAGGTGCTCATAGAGTCATCAACATGTCTGTGGAAAAAGTAGCAGACAGAGTACTGTTAAAACACAGATTAAAAGTAGAGTACATAAATCAGTAAGCCATATTTAAAAGCATGGAACAATCAATAAACAGGTACCAGGTTAGGGTATCAGTATGTCACATCGACGAATATATATATATATATATATATATATATATATATATATATTACGTTGCTAAGCCTCACATTACTTCATAAAGATAGAAATTTAACAATACGAGGAGTAAAGGATGCGAAATAATATCAATTCTCATAGACCTAAATATGAAAAATGTGCCTCGAAGGAAAATATGTGGCACGACCTGAGATTTAGATAGACAGAACAGATGTAAGGCCGATAGTGCGCCATATCAACGAACGGTTTTAGTAACAAATTACAGCTGCTAGGAGAACTCTGAACAAGAAGTTTGCAATTACTGACATGGCTTATATCAACAATCAATAACTATCGGCACGTCTTAGTTTAGCTATTTTTACAACCCACTCCAACGTTATCTGGAATTGTACGATGAGTTGAGAAGTAATAAGGCATTAGTAACAGATATAAACATTTCTAACTTCGGTTCTAGTATATGGAAATTATTTGATCACATGTCATCAACTATTTGCATCCTATGCATAACCACTACTTTTAAAGATCATGTTCTACAATCAGAAGAAACTGCTATACTCACAGCTTGAGTACTTACTCCTGTTACCCATCGTGGAGCACAGTTCGTCAACCAGCTTGATTAGTAAGCTGGAATCTCACCTGAGTAAAGTGTTACAGGTTATCAAAAGCCGAGAAAGCTTTTTTTATTGTGCAGCGATTCCATTTGCCATCAACTAACAAGATTACCAAAATAAGTGAAGTCGTCAGTTTAACAGACTATTGAACTCACTGCACTCAGATTAGGCACTGACCAATAATGAAACAGTATTTCGCGTTTATCAGTGTTAATCAAAGCGTTTAAATGACTTTTCATCTTGTAAGCGTTTGCATCAAACAGAGTTATCTCATCTTCATATGTTATGTCAATAATTGAATTTATCAGTGAATCAATAGCTGCATATTACGTAATTTATTTGATGTTTATGCACGTGCATACTAAATGGCTCATCTAGGAATGAAATCTAAAGTTCCTTATTGTCAATATTTAAGCCATCAACCGAGTAAATGTATTTGAAAATGTTCTAAACGTCAAAACAAATATTAATTTATCGATTATACATAATATATATATATATATACTACGTAGTTCAACTCTAATAAAATCGTGCTTTAGAGTGAACGAGACCCCAACAACGGAGAAAATTATATAGATTTGAAGGGAATACAACTTATCACCCTAATTTCATGACATATTCGTGACAATATTTACTAGAAAAGGAAAAGCAGAAAAACAACACACTTGAGTAACGTGCACGTTTGTTACACTGCGTTTTTCAAGGTTATTATCCAATATGTGATGTAGCTGTGATGGTGCAACGTCCCAGTGTGATTTATTTGTTCTCTCATATTGGTGCCAGAGTAGTCTGTCAGATATTTTGTGACATCTGATAAGATTATTCCAATCACTGAGCACTATTTAAAAATGACAGTGATATTTTTCCTCTCCGAGTAAATTATATTGTTTTGATCTTTAATGACATATCAAGACTACTGTTTATACTTTGATTGAATTTCTTTCAGTTAAAGTATTCGATTAGAGTATCATTTTCGGTTTGTAAAATAGTTTATCATCGGTACTTTAGAGTACTTTGTTTTTTCTATTGTGTCCGTTAGTACTTTGGTCCTAACTATTTACAGTTTTCCACTTTTTTGGTCAAAGATCACTTTTTCCGGGTACTGTTGTGCCTAGTTCATTTTTTTTAAAAGACCTCAAATGACTGGAAAGTGCAATAAAAGCAATTGCCAGCGTCCATGCTGTCGATATCCCTCGAAGTTGGCACAAATCTAACGCCTGTGGCTTTTAAACGGTTCAGTAAGAATGGTTGCGTATAGCTCTTTCAGAGGATGATGCCGAAGCCACTCTGGGTGAAGCACGAGGCCACTTAAATAGGCTTCGGACCTGTTACACTAATGCCCGGAGCTCGCCCAATAAGCGGTAGCAACTAGGTGTACAGATTGACTCCACTAAGCCAGACATAATCGCAGTTAAAGAAACTTGGCTTACACAGTTTATAGATAGTAGAGAACTTGATATCGAGGGTTTTACATTAGTAAGGGCCTACAGAATACAAAAGTGTAGAGGAGGAGTAGTAGCTCTATTCACTATGAATGCTATTCCATTCGCAATTACCGACAGTGTGTCCCATGAGAGTCGGACGAGTGAATTAGTTAGTTGCCGCTTGAAATGCTAGAGACAAGAGCAACTCATTGGTTTGGTCTACCGCAGTCCAAGCTGGGAGGTAAATGAGATCTTGCTAAACAGTCTCAATACTTGATCACGAAGTGGTCAATGTCTAATCCTAGAGGACTTTAATGTACTCATGGTAGACTGGGGAAATTTTCGAACTGATTCGTCTGATGATTCTGTTATGTTGGGTCTCCAGTTTCTGGGTGTTACCTCTGAGGTTAGTGTTATGACTAAGCTTATGAAGATGTTTAAGGGGATGACCAGAAGTTTTAAGGATACTGTAAGTCATAAAAGGGTCACCTATAAGACGCCTGTACTCTAACGGGTAAAGGTTAAGTGACTGGAGGCGCTCTTCATAAGGTTTGAATTTGAGTCCCCAAACTGATCTCGTGGCTCGACGTTGGATACGTTCCAGAATGTCCTTATCCTTTTGGAGGGAGGGAGGGAGGAAATACTATCTCTTCGTACTCTAAATGGGAACGAATAAAACTGTCGAAGGTTATGTGGAAAGTTCTACCGTCAAACTGGCCGAAAATGCGCTTCAATGTTACCAGTTCAAGGTTTGCTTGAAAAGCGTTATTGTCACAGTTAGCGTACGACTTGATATTGTAGGGTATCAACACCCATCAATCTTTTTCGACTTGGGAAACTTCTAGAAAGGAGATTCCTAAGTTGTAAATATAGTCTGCGAAATGTTGCACTTTGAAGTGTTGAAAGTAAGTCCGTTGTCGTCTGCCCAACTTTGAAGTCGAGTCAGATCCTCCTGAAGTGGTAGTATATCCTTTTGGTTACGTATCTCTCTCCAAAGTTTTACATCATCAGCAAAAAGCAATAAGTCAGATGAAACGTGATGTGGAAGATCGTTAATGTAAATCAAGAAGAGATGTCCTAGTGTTGAGTCCTGGGGGACCCCCACCACGACATTCCATAACCTGAGAGTGAAGTTAACCCTGACCCCAAAATGTCGGTTTTCAAGATATGAAGCGAGCCAGTCAATCAGAGGGAGTTTGATACCCAATCGCCCAAGCTTATTGATAAGACATATGTGGTTGACACCATCAAAAGCTTTTAGGAAATCAAGGTAAATGACGTCGACCTTCCTCTTGCGATCAAGGATGGTTGTCCATATATCCACTACAGTTAGCAGGTTGGTCATACAAGGATGGCCCTTTGGGGTGAGAAGAACTTCAAGGATAATAAGTATTCATGTATACCGTCGTACATTAGACTCCACTATTTTAGAAGGTGTGGAGAGAAGGGCCACTGGTTGGTAACTTGAGGGTTCACTGCTCCGACTTCCTTTGAAAATTGGTGTGATGTGAGCCAGCTTCCAAATTTCCGGCAGTTTGCCTCGGCTTAGCGTGTGTGAAAAGCTTCACGCTAAGTGATGATGTCAGGATTGAAGCTGCTTTCCTTAATATAACAGAATGAACCATATCCCGTCCAGGAGAAGTGTCTTCTCTTAGGTGCTGCAGTTTATGGAACACCAGATCGGCGCTCAGGTCCACTTCGGAAAGTCCTGTGCAGGTGCAGGCGAAGCTTTCACCGGTAAAGTTGATGTGGGTCGGTTGAAATATCTGAGAGTATTTTTCAGCTAAAAGATAAGCGGCACCACCGTCGTTGTTGGTCGAACCATTAGGACCTAGCAGTTGGGAAACTTCAGTTTTGCCTTGTCGAAAAGAAGCTGGGTAACGGGATAATCTTTTCGGATTGGAGACAAATCTATCGATAAGCTTGGTCTAGTACTGAAGCCTGTCTTCTCTTATGACATTTGTGCATATGCTCCTCACATGTTTGTATTGCCTGTGCGCACCGTTGTTGTCAGTTCGTTTATATTCAGTCCAACAGTACCTTTTGCGGCTTAGCAAACGAAGAGTGCGGTTCTTGATGATTGGAGGTTGTTTGTAGCTTTTTGGGACCATTTGAGGAACAGAATGCTTAGTAGCATATAAGAGCGTGTGCAGTAAGAAATTATTATTATTATTGTCTCAATGAGCATCCACTTGAAGTTGAGGTTGAACATCCCAATCCACCTGTTGTAGATAGTCATGTAAAGCTAACACATTCAGCCGTTTGAAATTCCAGCGCCTGTTGCTAGCTCCTGGTCCGTAAACTGAGACGCTATCCAAGTTTCGGATATTCCTATCAGATGAGCATCATTAGCGTTGCTAAGTTCACGTAGATCATCCAGGCACCTGGTTTCCTGGCTCAATCTGGATTCGTCCTACGTCTGCAGAGTTTCTGGTCTGGACCTCTACGAACGCAATCTTCAGATTCTGGATACAAACCATTCTGATGTAGCACGCTAACCCAAACAATCAATACATCACGTTCCTCTTTGTATCGTTCTAAGTCAAAGACATTTGGTGGCAACTCGAGGATCAACGATCGCTTCCTGTTCTGCCAACGTCTTCGTCCTACAATCGCACGTTTCGCGATCAGCCCCACGAACGAGACCGCTACGTATCGAAAGTGTAAACTCTTTTTAGAGGGGGCTCCTGTAGTGACCTGCTTTTACCAACGAAAACACGATTGGAATAATGGAAACAATTATTATTATAACCAATTGTACCAGTGATTATTTTACCGTACTCGTTGTTGTTTAACTGTATCAAAGTAACTTCTCTTCTCGTTCCGCTATCCGTCTTGTTTGGTTCGAAATTTCTTACGCTCTGCCCTTACTGCCTGTTCTCGTTGACACGTCTCGGTATTCTTTCGATACCACGAGATCGCCAATAAATATACTCTATCTGAACCAGTTAAAGTCTTCTGGTTTGCGAGTTATCAAAGTGACCAAGTTGTTTCTGGGCGCGTAATCTTACTGTAGTGGTGATCATAGTCAGTCGAGACTCGGTGCCTTCTATAATCCATCTTCTTGTTTGCACTGTGCGTTCCTGTTTTGCTAACAGTCGTGATACTGTCATTTACCAAGTTTTAAGACAACTTGTTCCTCAGACCTATTTGTAGGTTAATGATGGTACCCAGCAAAACTACAGTATCAGTGTTGCACGTATCACATACCCACCTATGCAGAGTCTGCTTTATGCTGTTGCTGTAAGATCTGTGCACGCTTCGTGAAACCAACCTTTGCAGTTGTCACATTGCATGCCAGATGTAACAGCAAAACGGCAACCAGGTCTTTTGCATGAATTTCTCACGGCTAATGAATATAGACTGTCTTATAAATACAAGCAGTAAGTCTAGGACCGTTTAAAGAGACGCGGCGCACAAAAACGGGCAAAAAAGGATAAAAAGGGGTTACGATAAGCTAAAAACTAGCCTTTACGTGAGAACGAAAAAAGCCGATAGTGAGCTCAGGCAAAACTACCGTTCGCTATTAAGTTGAGTGAAACTGAAAGATAAAGTAATCTATCGAACGTATAGCGGTAACTTTTAAGTATAAATTTCGAAATACATTCCAAGCCACTTCGGTTGGGGACTCTGGGTCTATTGCCAAATCCACTGACGATGATGAGTGTATAATATGTTGTATATTAGCTTTCCAGACGTTAGGTCTGAGTTGAGCTGATGCGTGCCCTTTTCTAACAACGTTATGGAAGTCAAAGTTTAGTACTGCATGATCACTTTTACCTAGGCGTGGCACGTAATCAAGGTTCGTGACGTCATCCTCATAATGTATCAACATAAGATCTAGTAAGAATGATTCAGAGCCCGGGTCATACCTAGTCACCTCTT